AAACAGAGAGACAGTAACAAAAGACTTAATTATATTAATATAACAGTTCTGCTTTTCCCTTATCTACGCTTCCTCGCTTGCCTTGTGTACGTCTGTCGGGGCACCGATACCCTTGCGTTAAGTTCACGCAAGGGTGTGCCCCGCTACACTGCATGCTAAGGCACGTGGATCTTCCCTATGCAGCTACTTATAACAATCAGGTTGGTCCGTACAAACTGTGCGGCTTTTCGCTCTACCGCTTCACACAGCATTACACATTCCGCGGACAGGAAGATGCGACCAAAGCCAATGTAATTATTCGTCTCTGGTTTCCCCTCATTTTGTTGTCCAGCGGTCAATCTGATGTTACTGTACTTGCATTGACATCTTGTCTTTTGTACAATCGTCAGTGTAACCCAATCGTCCCAATACGGGAGACGATCCTCTGTCCAATGGCACATAATGTCGTGACGGGTCCAACACCGAGGGTGCTGCTTCCTTACTCTGCAGGCGCTTCCCTTTGCGCCGACACAGATCCCGATGATCGTCGCGCTGAGCCTAACGTCACAGGTAGCTGTCGCAAAAGCAGCAAAAAAAGACGACGTCATATGCTGTCGTCGGCGCCCCAACAGCGTCTTCAAAGGTTTCTCATTGCAGCAAGTCGGTGAGCTTACATCTGCACTTACAACCGCTTCTGCGGCTCACTTCGTATTCGATGCTCCCTTTCTCATGAGGTCGGCGTCTAGCATGCCCAACTCACATCTCACTTTGCTGTATAGAGTAGTCGAGGACAAGCGTTTTCACGTCGAGCCAAAGCAGCGGTTTTAAAACTGCTCCACAACAATTTGAGCAGACACAGCAGCCGCGTTGTCGTGCAGAAAAAGAACGCAGCCTTTCATGTGTCCCCATCTGTCTGCGCAGGACAGGAAGCAAGACCAGCGTCCCTCGATTGACAATGGCGCTCGGCAAGTCGCACCCTTCTCACGTGAAGAGCGTGCAAGCGTACGTCACAAGAGAGCGCGTGTAATAGGCGGATCCATAACGGCACTGGTTCTCGGAATTCGATCGTGAGCCAGGCAGGCCTCTTCTACATATTGTACCTTGCGTAGACGATAAGTTCAGACCACCCTCCTATCGACCGCCCACCGCTGGGCATCGTAGGAAGCAGTGCCTTTGGAGATTGCTATCATGGTCATGTGCGATCTCGCTTGCACCCGCAACGCTTCTCGACAAGTGCTACGATCTTTGGAGACCGATGCCAACCCGTGGTTAGTCAGGCAAGAACACGCACAGCGCGGTGTTTGCTGATCCGGACAGAGTGCTATTGTACTGCAATTTGACAAATTCGTCAGACGCTTTTGTGCGACTGTTCGAAGATCAGGACGTACGTTCGCACTGCGGGCAGTTGCCGAGACTATGTGCTTCATGCCGCCGCACGGGAGAGACAATCGGTTAGATGGCGGACGTCTGTCGTATTCTGTGACTAAACAGACATACGTCGACGCCCAACTTATCCGACCGCTCGTGGTGACTTGAGACATGCCCTGCTATGTATCCCCTAACACGTCCGCTTATAACTGACTATAAAAGATATCTCACCCTCAGCCTCAGCTTGTCGCGACGGACGATGGGATACCGTCCTGGACTTCGCGTCCGCACGCACTCGCGACACCGGCACAATCTGCTGCTATGCTCAGATACTGTAGGTGCGCGGTGCGACGATAGTCGTCGACGGTGCTACCGTTTGTTGACTCTCTAACGCGACACGCACTTCCTGCCGATGCGAAAAGTCCGACTGTTTTGTATCCTCTAGTGCTCAATCGATTTGTCCTGCAAAAAGCCGCCGGCTCTTTACGTGATCTCTTCTAATCAACAAGCGTCGGGTACAGTGGCAGCCGCTCGCTTGCTCGCTCGGGGCTTTGCACCGATAGTAGGTACATATTCTGTAGCCCTCGCTCCACATCAAACATTCTCGCTCGGTAGCTGCGGGCATCCCATGTCTCAGGCAAAGGGACTGGATGATGCGCGCACGTACCCGTGTGCATCAGCTCAGCTCAGATGCATCCACCAGCCACCAGCCAAACAGTCGATGACCAGCTCAGTTCTTGCGGCAAGTCGATCGAAACGCAAGTCGAGTTGGGTGCGCCGTTCGCTCGCACGTCGCATTTGTGAGTAACAAACTCGCACAAAACCACCGACGAAACGGTGAAACGCGGTTGAGGGTGGGACCGCGCGTGGCATATGTGTGGGTGCGAAAGTGTGTGTAAGTGCCCACAGACGGTCGCAAACATCGCGGCGTCGCTCAAGTTTGGTGGCGTTTGTCGCTGGTGGTCCGCGTGGCTCGTCTTGGTTTCTTCCTTTTTCAGGGGCGCGCAGGGACGAGACGGTCGTCGGTCGTCTCGTCTGCGCTCGCGTGCGTTCATTGGTGGAACCGACCGCGGCGTGGGCGGTCCGCGCGCGGCATAGTCGCGCCAAGTGGTGGATACTGAAGCGAAGCTGCCGGCGCCGGACCGACCGCGTGAAACAAAGAGCACGAGACCAGTCAAGCGAGCAAACCGACCGCGGCCGGCCGCCCCTCGGCGCTTTTCGTTTTGATCCCTCTCTGCGCTGCCATTTGTCAAAACGCCGCGTCGCCCTCAGCTCACGCCATTTTAGCCAACGAACGAGCGCTTTGCCCCCGTCCTCCACGCTTGCAACAAGCTCCCGGCCACGTCCACGTCCACTGCTCCTACTTTCGCAGCAACTACTTTTGCAACCCCTACTTTACCATGACCATTGCCGCGACTTCTCCCATTGCTACTACTGCTACTGCTACTACTACTACTGCTACTACTGCAACTACTTCTGCTACTGCTACTGCTACTACTACCAGTAGTCCGACTAGCGCCAGTACGGCCGCTGCTCGCATGGCTTCGGGCGTGTGCTCGACGCTGAGCGTGCGCGTCGTCGAGGCCCACGCACTCGGGGACACCAAGATGTTCGAGGTTCAAGTCGGCTGCAAAGGCAAGCGCACGTCCGTGTACAAGAGCAAAGAGGACTTTAAGAGCGTGCTCGACATGTTTCGGCTCGTGGGGGCCATGAGCCGCGGCAAGAGCGACCGCTGCCCCGTGTGCGTCGCCTGCAGCGCCATGAGCCTCCCGCTGCGCATGTGCAGACAGGACGCGCTCGACGCGTTCCTCCGCGACGTGCTGGCCAAGCTCCGCCACGCGGCCGTCGACGCCATTGAGCACTGCAGCTCGCACCGCGGCGTTGTGCAGATCCTCATGGACTTTCTCAACGTGCGGCACGGGCTGTACTTTTGCGCGCTGACGCCCGAGATGGAGGCACAACTGGCGCTCCCGACGGCGCGCAAAGTGGTGCCGGACGACGTGGACGTGGACCGCCACCCCGTGTCGCGCTGTTCGCTCAATCGGACGCTCTCGGAGCAATTTGCCGCCATGGACTCTGTGTGCTAGCGCCCTGTCCATGTGCCAGGGGGCCGTGTGGATTTGTGTACGCCACACCAGTTCCACCCCACGTCGCTGCAACCGCACTTACGGCAACAGCGACCACGTACTTAGGAGATTGCTTACCACCGGCGCGAGCGCGCGCTTTGGAGGCGCAGTGGCACTGGTGACAGCGACGACGCATTTGTCGCCCGATGCGGTCATTCTCTCTCTCACTATCTCACCCTCTGTGTCCCTCTTTACGCCCACCCAAGCGCCGCGGGCAACGCCTTTGTGGCGAGTTGTGGTTGCCTTCGTACGCGGATGCTGCAGCTCGGCGTTTCCGCAGCAGGTCTTTGCTCGCGTCGGTAGTACTCGCGTGGAGAACGGCAACTTCGATTTGGACCGGTCGGTTTCAGACGTACAATAATAGAGAAGGATTAATATAAAAGCTGTGTGGTTCTGGCGACACGCTCTCTCATCTCACTCGTCAGAATGGGATCGATCCCGTTGGCATAACTCGCATCATCGTCGCACGACTCGCATTATCTACGACTGTGTCTGTTGTCCCGTACTCGTCGCGGCGCGCCATGCGGCTGACAGGATCACCATTGAGCGCGGTTGGCAGTTACTACGAGAGTGTTGGTGTCACCGACTCGGGCGCGCAGGGCAGTCGTGCGCTTAACAGTACGCGAGACGAGTGCATCGCGTGTCGACGTCATGTCGCCTGCTCTGGTATCGGAATACTCGGTAGCATACACATTCGAGCTGTCGCCCCTCGTCTCAAGTCTCCTGCTCCTATCGTGTTGCTCCGTGTTGCGCGAAACGCATCAAGCGCTTCAGACAGCTCAAGCTCCAAGTCGGCGTCGAGAGACTTGTGCTAAGTCGTGCATTGATCCCCACTGTCTGGGTCTTGTTGTTGCCTCGGTATGACAGGTAATTGAAAGATCATATCGTTATATCCCCTTATATGTGCAGAAGACTACATAGGTCTTTTCTGGTCTTTTTTAACCTTCAAGGCGCGTCCGTCAGACGTTGCCGATGCAGCTAGCGGCAGGAAGTTGCTTTATCATCTATTTGAGCTGTATTGCTGACTGACTGAATGCATTGTAAAATATTTGTACGCACAACGACGCGTCTGGCTGATTCAGCCAACTTCGTCGAGATACGTCAGCGAGAGTGCCTTTAACTTGGCCGATAAATGTAGTTGATCATTTTTCCATGCCACAAGATGAGCCACGGGCATGCAAGGAGCGGTTTCCTTTGCCTCACACTGTGTGTGAGAGTCGAAGGCGTGTTCCCATTTTGTAGCCCATGCGACCGCATGTGCGTCATGCCTATCGCAACAATGGATCGATGCAAGTTGATGCAGTCCAATATCGTAATGTACCTAATGATTATGCCATGTTTTTGCGAGTGTACCATATACTTTACAGAAACGCTTCGCTCTCTAGATATCGTCTCGTTGAACGGAATGCTTAAATGCAGCTAGAAGGACTTGATGGTACACTACCATTTGCTACGGCCACGTCACCCTTCACGGGTTCACCTCATATAAGAAGCCCTGCGCACATAAGGACACTCGGTACTCGATCAAATTAATAAGTGTCGCACATTGCAATCCATAGAGTAGGATTCAGTACTGTTTGTCACGGGGTATTTGTATTCCCCATTTGTAGGAAATAGAGAAAGCTTGGTTGATGATTTCTATATTAACCCGCGCGCCAGACGCGTTTCGGCTCACTGCCGAGGGCCTCGTCAGTGGCTTTATTAATCCAAAAGTAAGATCTAGCTCTATCCTGCGCTGACCGAGTGAGAACCTTCTAGAACTTAGTGAACTCTCGGATTTTGATTTGACCGTTTTATTGCGAAGTTATAGGGCCCTTAAGTTCGGAGAATTTCGTCAATTTTGGCTCGCGGTAGGCCACATTTGGCCGCCACAAAAATACCCGCGTAGACTTTGTTTTCAATTTTTTCGAGATTTTTCACATGCAACCTTTTTTTATAAGCATCGACGTTAGCGTAATACAACCATATTTGCAGTCTTGAAAGTGCAAAAATGGCTGTTTTCACCCTGAATGGCATTGTTTTGCCTGTTAATGCCTTGTGTTTACTAGAAAAACAACGCAAGAAATTACCCAAATCTATCAAAAGCCATCACGTATTGCCCAAATTCGTGCAAAGCACAAGTAAGCAGCAGCTAAAACGTTTACATCCTTTAAATTAAATTTGGGACATTATTGTAACGGGGCACACCCTTGCGTGAACTTAACGCAAGGGTTTTGGTGCGCCCGACAGGCGTACACGAGGCAAACGAGGAAGCGTAGATAAGGGAAAAGTAAAACTGTTATATTAATATAATTAAGTCTTTTAACTACTGTCTCTTTGTATGACTTAACTTAATTATACTAATATAACTGAGTGTATGGTGACGTCTCATCACCACTCATTGCGCGCGTCTTGCGGCGATTGGTGGCTTGATATCGTCAAGATATCAACCAATGAACAGACTCTTTGGTCGCCCTTCACCAATATCACCACCATTGGTGATATTGTTAAACGAATATCCAACTTAATATTCTTTATTGTCATTGTTTCTTTAAAGTGACAATTCCATGTAACGGGCTGCGCCGTTACATCCCCCCCTTAACTGATAGTCACCGTGTGACTATCGAAAATAATGGCGGCCACCCGTTGGTCACCATTGGTACAGGGAGCACTTGTTGGGTCCGTTCCATTCACTTTCCGCTCGACCTCGCATAGTTAACATGTCTATGCGGGGTGACTCAAGGCACACAAAGTCTGTGCCTGTGCCAGCTTCTGCGGCAGACGATTCGTCGTCTGCTGCTCGTTCTTCGCCTGCAGCAAGAGGTACTGCAGGTGCACGCGGTAGAGCACCGCGTGCGCATGATGACCCCGACATTGAGGTCATCTACTCTGGCGAGTCAGACGTGTCTGACTCGGGTAAAGCTGCAGAGGCGTCTCGCTCACCGGCGACGCCTCAGTGTTCGCCAAGGCCACTGCCGAACGAACGGACTCGTGAGTTGCAACACAGTCTGTTCGGCAGTGATGATGAAGGTGATCAGAGTGGTGAGGAGAATTACTCCTTACCACTGCCGATCTCGTGCCTCTTCGCACGAGCGTAATGACGATGGCGTGAGCCGTCGTCATTCTGGAAGCCGTGGTACCGACAGAGGTACCACTTCGAAGTATGATGAGCCGAAGCCGTGGCGTCTGCTCGAACGGCTCATCAATGGCTTGTCTCGTGAGACAAGCCAACACCATCGAATACCCTTATTCGATGCGACTGAGCTTCACGGCTTGACTCCCAGCGCGAGCAACTTTTGCGCTAAAGAAGACTTTTATCTCGATGTCTTCCTTAGACATCGATGGTACAACAGCAACCAAAAGCGTGACAAAAACTCGCTTTTGGCAGCGCGGAACGCATTCGTCCAAAACGTAAAGAATTTTGGATGAGAAAGGTGGCTCAAGAAGCTTGAGGCAGTACGCCTCATGTTCGAAAAGCGAACGCCAACCGCTGCCAGGTATCGGTTGCATAATCTGTCAAGTGAGGCCGGCATTCCATGCCTTACTTGGGGAGAACCTTGTGCGAGTTGTGCTGACAACTCGCAACGTGCGCAGAGGGACGTGTATTCCCTAGATTCTCCCTGGGGAAGTGCACACATCTCGGCTGAGATGCGTAACGCGATTGCAAACTTGCAATAAGTCTACAAGCGCCTAGGGCGCGTGTTTACCAATGGGCCGCAGGACTCATCGGATGGGTATCGTCATACTGGCGGACGAGACCTTCAACGTCCATCAACAGCTGAGAGCGGGGCTCCCAGCTGTTCCAAGAGGGTGGATACCCCCGCCACTGGACGAGGTAGCTCGTCCTTGATCCTGAATCGTCACGGTGATTCAAGATACGCTCCGCTAAGTAGAGTTGATCACCGTGAGAATCCACCAAAGGATGTGGTGGAGGAGGAAAGACCTCCTCCAGATGATTTGGCTCACCATCTCGACCCTTACGAGATGGATCGCGCAATCGATGAATTGCGAGATGACTTGAAGCACGAGCGCGACCGGCGCTACGCTTTGACTGATACCGTGCGGAAGAACCGCAAGGATCGCGAGGCTGATCGGGCGAGAGACCGCGCCAATTTTGCCACAGGGCAGCTTCAGGTCGAGCGGGATGTCCGCTCACTATCCGGCGAGCTGGCTACAGCTCGCGGAGAGATCTCTCGCTTGAGTTCTGAGTTATCTTATCTGCGCGACCAGACGGATCGTCTGGAGCGCGAACGCAAGAACTTGATGGATGTTCTTGAACGTGGGGGCTATCTTCATCGGAAGAAGAAGGCTCGTACTGACAGTGAGGCCTAAGCCTCCCCACGTAAAACGTAGGATGCGTGCGCATCCTACGTAGCAATTCGAGTGTGTATGCATTGCCCTTGCGATGCAACACTCGAAATGGCCCAATGTATTTCGGCAGTAGTTTGCTACTGCCGACACTAGTGACTGCATGTCCAGGTAGGTTTACCGTAGACAGTAGTACTAGGTCGTTAACCTTAAATGAAAGAACATTTGCTCTTCCATTCTTGTCTGCGTTCCGTTTCTGACGGTCCACCGCATTTGCGATGGAGTCCTGAACGAAACGGACTACCGCTTCTCGAGTCAGCAGGAAGTTCTCTACTGACTCTTTGTTTTGTCTGGCAGTGCGCTTCGTGCGCACTGCTAAGAGATTGCTCTCTTCTTCAGCGAGGTTGTCTTCTTACTCGCTGACATAATCGTTGGCGATGCTGAATATACCAGCATCGTCATCATCATCCGAATCAATAATAGCGTCTTCGCTATTATTGAGATGATCTTCTTCATCGATGTCGACTTGATCGGCATCGGCATCATACGTGACGACGTTTGCGTCGACACGTGATGAGCAAGAGCCAAAACGGTTTTTGCTCGAGCGAGTCCCTCCCCCCTTATCCAAAAGTCACACTCTAGAAGGGTGGGCACACGTGGATGGCGTAGGCCAT